ATCTAAGCACCAATATCTGAATTAACAGTTGCTTCTCTCGGCTTGTTCGGGGGTAAAATTTTTGTTGGAAACTCAGAATGTAGGCTACTAGGAATTTTCGGATCATGCCAGAAAGCGAAAGAGAACGCAAAAAAAATTAAGCCTGTAGCTGATTTTCCGAGGCAGTAGCGACCGATAGATACCAACGATAAATTTTTCTCGTTAGCAAAGCGCGCAGAATTGAAAGCAAAGATGAATGGTTTCTATTCAAAATCACAATTGGAAACTCATCGACGTACACTTAGACACAATCGCCCACAATATTCATATACTTGGAAACTGTGACCACCTTCTGTTGTCCCGACAGCAGAGCAACGTCAGCTACGACACATTTTCATCATTGCTTTCACTTGCTTACGCGAATATCATGACATACAGCAGCTTTGTATGCATTCCGGATGAACCTATTGACAGCTGTTCCGACACCTTTGGAGAAGCCATGCCGATGTCCTTATTTCCGAAAGACAGCCTGGCCCAATTTTTGAAGGTGGTAGCAGAAGAGGGAGTGAAGTCTGTGACCGACTTTCTCTTGCCATTCCATGAAATGAAATTACGAAGCCCAATTACTAAGTGACACGATTACAATCAAGGAAGGACTGCTGATGACCCTTACGCTACCTCTCGCGAGTAGACAAAGAATATTCACAGTGTGCAAAGCGCATGCGAAAACAATGCCTGAGACAGAGTCTGTCCGTAGGTGGAAGATTGAAACTGAATATTTAGCAGTATCAGAGGATCAGATGGAAACGGGAACCATCAGGCCAGGACAATTAGACAAAAGTATTTTATCAAACAAATACCGGAAATGTCACGAGAACATGGCAACGGAGATTGAACATTCGTCGTGCGTAACAAACTTATTTGTCAAAGGCCTATTGGATGCGCTGAAGGTTTGCGACACAGAGAAAATGTTGCTTCCAATAAGATAAAAAGCACAGAATTTAAGATTTGGTGTGTGGCTGATCACCTCAGTACACGATTTAAATAGCTTGTTGGAAACGAGTTCTTTGTCCGATTCAGACTGTACGACGTGAAAGTTCAAAGGCTGCAGAATTTGCCTAATTTCGCTGGAGTGCGGCAGAAAGATCATGAGATCACACATCAAGATACGAAGCGATCTATGCAGCTGTGAGCATATTCCTGCTCTTAGCTCAATTGATTGGACCGCTACCTTCAGTGGAGAAGTGCCAATGTACAACCAACAAGTAGACGCGAATATGGATATGCTTAGGAACGTTGGAGAAACTAACGAGAATAACCGTACCGGCATATTGAGGTTTTAGAGGACATTGCAAAACCAATCGGCGGAAATCAGAACACTAAAACCGAGCTTATGGAGACATTTGACAATCTGGACACTCTGAAACAAACAATCATAATTCTACTATCAATGATTCTTCACATATTGTTCTTCTTCGTATAACATCTATACAGTAGATGAAAGACTCGTGCCACCATTACAGAAATCCGAAGACTAAAAGACAAAGATACCAATGAAACCTGTAATGTGTGTAGACACGTCGAAACATGCGATAGTGGATGCAGGAAAACATAAAAACATAGTGACGATCAGAAACTAGTTTTCGGCGAGTGTACACTACTTAACGAACTTGACGCAGTGAAGATAGTAGAAGAATGCTTCAAGGGAACTATGACCCCAGCACTAACACGAAGCTCATACATGGCTAGCGTCAAGAAAGCTTATACATGGCTAGCGTCAACATAAACGCGAGAGATTAAATTGTTGAACAACACAATGAACAAAATATTAAGAGCAAAAGGTGCAAGCGACGGGGATTTGGACAATCGGAAATGTACTAAGCAGTGCACCGAAAGAACACTTAAACAATTAAACTTCAAGAAAACAACTATTATAAACAAATCAAACCTCGAGAACATTTAAATGTCGAAACAACAACAAAAACGGTAAAAACCAGCAAACCGGCAAAAAGGTTTTAATAGTAAAATTGAAGAATGGTTGAATTGTATTATTTAGTTCTTGAAATCTGTGTGACTCACCTGGGTAAATGTAAACTATTTTTTTTACTAATCCCAACGAATATTAAATGTTATATCAACAAGTATTTTTCTTCTTCATTTCAATTAGACAGTGACGGCACTACATATTTTAGAAGGAAGACGTCTGATGGCTACTACAGCTTGATGAATTTGGTTCACGACATGTATAAATTTGGTGGACTATATTTTTTGTGAATCTTCTTCATTACGTATCAATTTTCTGATCTGCGGGCAAGAAATTTTGAGCTGGGGAGTGTGACGTTGATTGAAAATACTGACCTTTGCGAATAATTTGTAATATCACACCAACCTCAGAATAATCTTCAACTGTTTGAAACGTTTGTTCGGCACAAATGTCCCCAAAACTGTTTTGATATGCAACTATAACAATGAAAACTCAAATGAGAGTTTAAACTTAACTGGAATTTTCCTACTAGCCTATAATGAACTAAAGTATATTGGAATTTTTAGTTTTCTTTTAGATCTGAATGTTGAAATGATGTAACCTAGGGTTAAAGATTTTCCTATGAATGTGAACTAATGACTTTGAAACTGTAATTGATATATAAATAATGCATTCGTGGCACTTTTAATGCAACATGTAAATAGCCCATGACCCGTACCGTAGAAAGTAATAAACGTATACTTATGGTCAGTAGAGAATTGAATTGTTATATTACGAAATTGACTCCCTGTTCAGTAGAAAACTTGAGCAAGAACCAAGAAACACGTATTCAATCGTAACATTTTTGCAATAAGTCAATTGTTGCTTAAGTAGTTAGCAAATTTATTTAAATCGTAAATGGTTTCACATGAGTTTTGCAAAAATCAGTTTCTTCCGTGGCTCCGAATAAAGAAGAACAGCTTTTTCCATTTCTTTGAAAGTCATTTCATTTATATTCCTCGGTTGCACAGTGTGCATCAATTTTTCCAGTGCTGATTTTCCAATGGACGTGAAGAAATTTGGCTATTTGATAGTCGGCCTGGTCATCGTCAGTTGCTTCTTTATCGATGTGTTTCTTTACGCTACTTTTAGCGCGAAACTGTATCAACCAGACTCGTGCTTTTTCAATTTCGTGTAGCATTAGTTCGGTTTTTTTGTCGCAGTGCCATGATATACCAACTGATTGGAGAGAATGTGAATCACTTTTTTTCCTGCTAGTTCACATATTGGCAAACGGGCTGAATTAATCGTCGAAACCTTATTTAGTTCCATGATGAGTCACCTATGAAATAGCTTGAACAACTTCTACTACATCAAAATTGTGTTTGTGCTCATAGTCCTCAACAGCCGAGAACCTCTAGATAGAGGATGATTCAACTTTCTTTTTGCAAAATGTTTTGTTCTAAAAAGGAAAACTGATACGTTTAAGCAACAAAAACCGTGCTTAAAACTACTTGAATGTATATTATTAATTGACCGCAAGCAAAAATCAAAAGATTATGAACATAAAGCTCGTTGAAATATCTCGGACAAGCTGTTAAGTTATCCGTTAAAAATATCATTTCGATGATTTTTTCTTCAAATGAAAAATTGAATTCAGAAATGAAAAAGAGGTGCACCCATTTACAAGGAGGCTATACGAATTATTGACTTAGTGGATTATCATTCCGTTGCGTACGTAATGTTTAATTTTAGACTTCAATCCGGAATAGCGCTCAAGTTGTTTTGATTTTTCCAATATGGTGCGAGAGAATGTTTACTTTTTATCCACTATTAGATCGAAGTGTTTTTCAGGACGTTTTAGGAGAAAAAAACAGATAATGACTTCTAGCTTCATGAAGATTGGAAGCTTCTGTAAGATGTCCAAATCTTATTAAAATCTCTTGATCAGAACTGAAAGGTAATCTATCAAACAATTAGACAGTTATTAACTCAAGATGTCAGATTGAAACTCTTCCAGTCTGGAGTTATCTGCAATTATATTCGTATCTTCGTATCATCTGCAATGCCAATAATAAGAGCAGCTCAGATCCCCTTGTAATATCATAAGGCATATCATTAATATGAATTAGAATAGTCAGAGGGTCTAAGACCGAACCTTGAGGAACTTCCATGTTAATTGGTAACCAGCTGGATATAGCACATTTCATGTGGACTGTTGAATTCATCATTTTAGAGATCTCAATCTAGCTGATTATCTCCAGCTTGCTTTTCGAGTTCATTCCTCTTTTTTGAAGGAAATCAGTAGGTTGCGTTTTCGTTAGTTATCCTTCGGGGAGTAACTGTTTTCTGATTGTTTTAAATGAAAAAGTTATAGTTTGCGGCTTAATGTTTTTTCGAACTGTTGTTTTTTCTTATTTAGTGTTCATTTTCTCATTTTTGTCTTGTTTTTACATCTTATCATCTTATTGCAATTAGATCGAATTTCTTTGTGTGTCAATCGTTTTCTATTGACTTTTTCTGATTCTTAATTTGATTGTCAAAATTGACAATAAGTTTACAAAAAATGACAAAAATTCACCTCTGTGTCAAAATTATTCGAGTTTAAATTCTCAATAAGTTAAGTCCGAAAAATGCAAAATTTCTGAACGATTTATTAAGACAGATGATTGCAAAAAAATTACATCCCGAGTTAAGGTTAAAGGCCTTTAATATGATACCACCCTTGACATCTTTGAGATTTACTTGAAGTAATCAAAATTCACTCAAATAACACATCCTAACGCACGAAAACTTAGAGGGTTATCAGAAAAATAATATCGAAAAATAATAATGAAGCGACTAATTTTTAACCGTATTTGACTGAATGATTCGAATTCGTGCTGCGTATCATTTTTCAACCAATCAGATTTGAGTAATGTCCACTTTGTCTGCTTTCTGACAGGTGTGGAATGGGTGTTGTCTTCTCACTGGCCGTAGTAGTAGTACGCTCTTAGAACGCAGCATTAATTTAGTTTATGTAATCTGAAAGGAAAAACAATGTTTGGCTTTTTTATTTTTCAGATCAGTCTGTGTTTACAGTAGTCCCTCTTTTTGTTGGAGAATGTCAGTGCAGCTATCAACTGGGGCCATAGACAACTTCGCCCATGGAGTCAAGTACAAGGAGGGATCCACCCCTGTCACCCTCCAGATCCTCAACTCGAAGAAGATGGTAACTTGTTTGCTTCAAATATGCCCATGTCAACAATTTCCCCCTAAATCAAGTTAGGTAGATCGATCGATCTCTGGGGGAAAGAAACCTTTTCAGCCGATCACGATCTACCATTTTACTTTCTGCTTAACGTTTTCTACTGTGAGTGAGGTGATCGTTCACTTGGTTATTTTGAGGAGATAAAGCGCAGGAACAAGTCGTATTGTTTTTCTCCTAAATAAAGTTGGTCCATAAAGACAGCCTTTGAAATTTTAACTCAGCTAAGATTTTTTGGCATCTAAAGCGGCCTTCGAAAATTTGGCATTCAAATGGGCAGTTCGCTCAATAGGGTATCAAATGGTAGTTTTGGGCATCGAAGGTGTCCAGTTTGAACGGATGGGTGGCTTAAGGTGACTGATTTACATATTTACTCTTGTTGCCAATTGTTTTTTTTGCGCACTCAAATTAATATGTTGGACCAGAGTGTTGTTGCTTGAACAAAGTTTGGGGAATTGTTTCTGTTAAGTTAAAACAGCTACAGGCCTCACCCAGATTGACTTACAAGAAGTTGTGGCCCACTTACAAGAACTGACTGGTAAAACATAAGTGTAGAGTTTACATCTTACATGGGAAGGTTTTAATGGATACTAAGAGAGGGGTCCAGTTTAAGGGGTACCCGATGAAGGGTGGAGAGTGGGGCTCGAAAAGGAAAAATTATTATCATCACTGGTTTCTTTAGTGCACTCTCTCTTGAACTCGAAAGTGCTGCCGCCTTCTTTTAGAGTAACACCGTTTGATCATGCTCCCTAGCTCTTTAAGTGAGCTACGATTATCTTGAAAATTATTGCCATTGATCAGCGCGTACTATATAACCATCCTTAAATACGACCAAGAACTAAAGAGCGATCGCCAGAACTAGCTGCTGAAGTGAGCTTAGATTTTAGTCTGGTAAAAAAAAGGTAAAACGGAAAAAAAAATTATTGATTTTAGTTTTTGAAAAATTGATAATAATCATAATAATAAATAATTGTTTACAGGCAATTCGATTGTGAGTATTTAATAAATTTACAAATCATGCCAACAGTTTTAACGCCTAGGAGAGAACCATTTGGATCTACAGGTCCGTTCACAGGTTTTTCAGTGCGGAAATTTATTTAGTAAGTTTTTGATACTGTTGAGAAATAAATTATCAATATTTGAACTTAAATCATGTGACTTCAGATTTCAATATATATTGAATTTCGCCAAAAAACCGGAGAAGGAAAATTTACCAGAAAATTGCATACAATCATGGATCTTACTTAACTAATAGTAAATTTTTTTAAGAGGTATTTCTTATCCAGGATGTAGCAGTCTTAAAAAAATTACTTTGTAGGAAGAAGAATTTTTCTTAATATCAATAAAATTAGGATGACAATTTAGGATACTATTTGAACATTTTTCTTAGCCTAACAATAATTGACTCATTTGAGTTTTTGTGTACTCTTTTTGGCAGTCTTGCTATACTGTGCATCTCGGAAAGTTTTTTGATTTCATTATCCGTAATTAGCTCGTTCAAAATTTGAACTGGCTTTCTCATCTGACAACTTGACACACTGTTTTCACTGGTGCATACAAGTGAAGCTCCTTAGCAAAACTTAACTTATTTTTCAATCGCTTCCTTTTTATCTAGAAAGTCTTTTTTGGTATTCTTCGTGGATGCGTAAGCCAAAACACCATACTTTAAAAATAGTTTGTCTTCATCTTTTTATCTTGAAATACCTTTCTGGCAGTCTTTTTGTTGTACTGTGCATCTCAGAAAATTTTTTGACTTCATTATCCGTAATGAGCTCGTTCAAAATTTGAACAGGCTTTAACATCTGAGAACTTGACACACTGTTTTCACTGGTGCATACAAGTGATGCTCCTTAGCAAAACTTAACTTTTTTCAATCGCTTCCTTTTTATCTAGAAAGTCTTTTTTGGTACTCTTCGTGGATGCGTAAGCCAAAACACCATACTTTAAAAATAGGTTGCACGAAAGTTTTTCAAGTTGAAACTTTCATAGTCTATAAGAAATTCCGCAAAATTTTGACTTTTTACCTAAAGTCGACGTGTTCATATAGTGTAAGCTTGTTTTGCTTAGGAGTATTGAACTAAATGAAGACTCTCATATAAGTCGGGGTGATTTTTTTGTTTTTGTTTAGGCAAAGATCTTGAAATGCTCGAATAATTACAGATCTGCATTCATACCTTTTGATGCTTTATGAATGCACTCAGGTATATATGCACTTTTTTTATCTGCTGAAAGTGACACAAATAGCACTCTTCAAATACGAACGTGGAAGTTGCGCAAAAAACGTGACCGATTTCTAGTTAGTAAAGTGGCCTTCAATTTACCGATTTCCAGCGAAATAAAAGTTTTAACTGGTGATCCAGTTTTCTCACGTTGGGTTATGTTATCATAAACACGCGAATCATAAATCGGTCTAATAATTCAAAGAATTGAGTGTTTTTTTTTATGTTTACTTGCGTTCATTACTGTTTTCCAATTTTCGATTGGCTACGTTTTAAGCATTCTGCGGTTATGTTCAAAGCAGCCTGGTGTTCAGCATGCACAGTTTTCAACAGTGTACATGTCCTTAATGCAGTGTCGTTTGCGTATAGTAAACGTTTTGTGTTTTCCTGGTTTGAGTCGATATCGTTAATGAAAATGATGAAAGGCAGTACCGATAATAGATTCTTGAGAAACGCCGAAGTGAACTTCTCTTAATTTTAGTTTGCATGTTAAGTGGCTACATACTGCTTCCTATGATTCAAATAAGATCTTCATAACTGACCAATTGGTCCTCTTAGGTCATACGCGTCGCATCTTTAAAACAGGAGTAAGTGATCTTCTGTATCGAATGCTTTTTGAAATTTGTGAATGTACATTGAGTCCTTATTGCTTTCTGAAAATTTCAACTGTGAATTTCGTTTTAAATTGTCGTGATTTTTCCTATAATGAAATGTTGGTCTAGTGGTAACAAGCGTGACACTCGTCCCGATAGAGGGGTTCGATTTTTTTTTCGCGTAGACAAATGTAATTAATATAATAATTTTTATTATTCAGCTTAAAACCTTAATTATGGTACAGTTTCTAGTAAATTTCAAGGGTACACAGAAAGCAGATGAGCTATCTCGCTATCCATTTTTCCCGAGGGTTTGTTTCCTTCAGTATTTTGTTGTAAGTAATTCTTTAAATCTATCGGCTCCTTTTATTACCCCAACGTTCGAATTTTAGGTGGGCTCACAATGTGTGCATGTGATTGAAACTTGCCAACAGACTAACTAGGTTGAGTTAATTCGAAACATATTTAGTTCTGACATTTGGTTTTGTTCGGCCACTGGTCACACCATAAAATTGATGCTCATGTTAAGCGGGGAAAGAAAAAGGTTCGATATTTGTTCTGGTTGGTAATGAGCATTTACAGTTGTGTTGACTTTGTGTTGTTCTTTTCAGGTGACAGGGGGCAACGAGAGGTTCCGCATCCTCATCTCAGACGGAGTGCACTCTCTCAATGCGGCCATGTTGTCGCCCTCCCTCAACCACGTTGTGGAACTGCAGCAGCAGAACTGCGTGTTCACCTCAAACAAATACAACATCAACACTGTCGCCGTAAGTGAATCTAATTCAACCTCTCTTTAAGTACACATAACATCTGGAAACCATAATCCACTCCCATAAAGCTCTAAACGAAGAGTTAAACTTATACGAATTTGGTACCGAGTTACGAATCCCACTCATCTTGCAATGGGGTGGATAGTTTATTAGATCAACTCCTACCAATCGATTATAATTGAAAAAACACACACGGTGAATGATCGTGCATCTGTTGAGCTTACGGTTTTACCTGTTGCAATCATAACCTATCGAAAATCTTCAGATTTAGTCTTGAAATTGTAATTTAGTGCATAAAATTTAGTGCTTAAAATATCCCCCCTAACTAAGTTAAGTGTTTGGCTGTTCTATAAAATGATGTAGCAGTAAATTTGATTAGTTAGAATTGAAATTGATTGTGAGTTTAGGGCGACAGGAAGATTGTGGTGTTCATGGACGCCCAGGTGGTGAAGGAAGGACATGATTGCGAGAGAATAGGAAGACCTACCACCTGGACCAGGGCGCCAGAAGACAACACGAACACAACGAACTCTACACCGAGCAACGTAATCAGAAGCGGTGCAGCAGCTGTAGTTTCAGCATCCCCGCAACACTCCACCCTCGGAGGAGGAGGCGGCGGCAGAGTGTTCTCGGCTAACCCGACCACGCCCCTTGCCAACAGGTACGGGTGTATAACAAACTATTGTTCTTGTTAGGTCCAGTAAACCATATCGCATGTAGGAAACCATTTACTTAAATAGGTTTTGTTTTTTTTTCAAGTATTTTTTCGACATGAAAGTTGAGTCGATTTTTATAATGACAAATAAATGTCATATTTGTTTCATTTTTGGTTAAATGACTTCCAATCTTGCTACTGTGCGCCACGATTTGCTTGATGAGTCTTTTTGCGAAATCGGTAATCAGATAAAAACAATTTGGTATCTTCCAGTGCAATGCAATATATGGAGCAACATTTTTGGATGTTTTCTCGGCACGGCTTTGAGCTTGCGTAAATATGCTTTTGAAAATCAATTAGTGGTCATAGAGCTTCGCCACGATGGACCAGAGTGTACCAAAGCCCAATCTAAAGAATGTACCAAAGCCCAACCGAATGCAAAATTCTTTCCCACTCACTTGATGAGAGTTGTCTGCCAGAACAATCAAGTTTGTTGTGTTGGATTTTGAGGAAAAAAGGTGTTTTTAGGACTGGTGCTCTGCAGCTGAACTCGCCCAAGACCCCGGGAGGAGGGGGGAGCAGTCACCCGATTGTGGGTCTGAATCCCTATCAGAACAAGTGGGTCATCAAGGCTAGGTGTATGAACAAAGGATCCATCAGGAACTACAACAACGCCAAGGGACCCGGCAAGCTGTTCAATTTCGAGGTAAGTCGCACCATCTCATGCTATAGTTTGATGCTCTTTTGTCTGCAAGAGGTTTTGTCTGCTTCTCCCTTCATTCTAGTTTCTTCAATCAAACAATATGAGGCGGCTGATTTTAATACTTGTGTTTTGTGACTCGAATATCAGGTTCATGTTTTGGTCTGATCTAGAATGTGGCCGCTTTGCTCTCCTTGGATATGAGGACTAGTGCACGTGTACTGAGTTGTGTTGCGTTGTAGGTGGCAGACAGTTCGGGCGAGATCAGAATCACTGGCTTCAATGACCAGGTGGACAAGTTCTACGACATGATAGAGCCAGAGAAGGTCTACCTCATAACCGGCTGTTCAGTCAAGGCCGCAAACAAACAGTACAACAAGACAGGCTAGTTCACTCAAAAAAAAGGGAGAGAGAGAGAAGCAGATAGATATTGAACTATCTACAAAAAATATAAAAGGATAGCTGGTTACTGTGCAAAGAGTAGCAAAACTGTAAAGTAGCAAAGAATGCTCCGACCTTATTCTTAAAAAAACTACAATTTTTTTTTTAAATTAATTTCAATGTTTTTGTGCGTGCTCTGATGAAGCTAGACTAGATTTAACCCATATTCGATATTCATAGTAAAAAAGCCATATCGGAAAACAGTTTTGTTCAAAAATTGACTCTTAAAAAAACAAAAGTATTTCATTTTTTTTTTCAATTTTTTAGAAAGTTTTTTATTCCCAAGATGGCGCTAAAAAAACTTTGAAAACTGAATTTACTAAATTGTTCATGGCTTGAATATAAATTTATGGCTCATTGACTACTAATATGCGACTATTCTTCTATAATAAGCCTATCCTTCTATATCCTTCTACAATAAAAAGTTAGACGAAAAATAAAAAAATTTCGAACCGGTTTTTCTCGACACCGGAAAGTTTTTTTGAAAAATTTTCAATATCGTTCAAATCACCACTGAAAAGTTTTTGATATGATATATCACTCAACCCAGTCCGATTATTGTTTGTGCTATAATTTCGCGTGGAAAACAAAAAAAAAACGAAAAACTAAAACACTCGAATGCAAAGTTCCTCACCATTTTTAATGGTCGGAACAAAAAATTTGAAATAATAGCTAACACCGAGTTATCATTGCGCGTTAACAGTTGCGTGGAATTTATCCCAGCTGAGAAAGTTTAAATCCGGAGTTTTTTTTTAAAAAATGGTCGAAGTTATCTTATCGTGACTAAATAGATTTTCCGAGGTCTACCAAAGCCATTTGGAGAGCCGCTTATTAAATAATGTAGCTTGCGAGCAATGCTTGTGGTTTCTAGGCCACGACTACGAACTGACTCTGACAAACGGGACGCTGATTGAGCCGATGGCTGATGACGGGGAGGCGCCGAAGCTGAGCTACAACTTCCAGACCATAGACAGGCTGTTGGAGACGGAGCCGAACTCAGTTGTGGATGTCATCGGTTAGTCCCTCCGTCGTCTCATCGGCCTCTTCACGAGTTCAAAGTTGATTTTATTTTGAGGTTGCAAGCACAGGCGCAGCAAAATGCGCTTATAGATACAGTTTACTACACTAGTGAACTTCTGTGAGCGTTACTGTTATACTGCGGTTTCTTTTTTTAAACCGAAGTCGCTAATATTGGCGCCGCTTTTGGGGGAACCTTTACGTCTTTTTGATAGCATGTGAATTGGCATTCGAGTATTGATAAGTTAACACAGTTGATGCATTTTAAATTCGCAAATGAACCAAAAAAAGCTAATTGTTTCAAACAACATAACAATAATAAAAACTCGATTTCAGAAATTTTCTAACTCAATGTATCTCACAGTCTTTTGAAATGCAAAGTTTATACGTAATGTATTTTTATGATTTCCAATTTATAACATGAAAAATTAGTGTGGATGCTTTCAATTTGATATATTCCAAACTACTACTTGCAAAATTGTGTCTGTTTGTTTTGGTGCCACTTTTGCTGCATCGCATTTGGAAGTTGTTAGCATATGTAGCTGCTTTATGTGTGACTAGTACTAGTGTTTGCCGGTTGTTAAGATTTCGTGGCCGAGAAGATAGGTCATGAGACCCCTCTTCTCGAAGTCGCAGGGGTTCGAAGCTCATACGTAGCAAAGTACTAATTCCAGGCTTATTTCTCTCTTTTCTGATTTCGCTATATAAAGCTGCTTTTTGTCGTGCTCTCGCAAGTGTTTGCGAATTCAGCTTCGCCACTGTGTTGCCCTTGCGATAAGCAAGGGTAGTGCAATCTGGTACTAGAGTTTTTTTCCCATAAATAACGTTGTTCATAGAATGGTAAAATTGCATGGTTGCTCATTAACATGGTAACTGTATTAGCTGCATGCAGTTGCCACGCGGCATTTAGTTGTGTTACCTTAAGAATTGCAAAAGAGTTTGTAGAATTTGAAATATTTTGGTACATTTTCGACACAGAGATTGGTCGGTTTCAATTCTGTCGGCTTTTTTGTTAGTATTATAACAATTAATCTCTACCGAGAATTTTTTCAACTCGAACGAGAAAGTTTTGCATGTCTGTAATAATTTTAAGAAGTTTTATTAAAATCAGTTATCGGATTTCTAGTACGCTTTTTTATTTTGTCGAAAACTTGGTTTGTTTGTTTATGTTGTTTATAAAATCATTGAACCATTGCTTAACAGTATGTAAAAGTTTGAGATGCTAGATCGGCCGGCTTCAATCCTGCGGCCTATTTACCTAATGTGTTTTTAATTTGAATCCGGTCTTTTTTCGGCATTGTCTCAGTTTTGACTAGGTATGTAGGAAATTTCAAAATATTTTTCCGACCTTTTTAAAAGGTTAAAAAATTATGAAAAAGTTTTTGTTTATTTTTGAATTTGTGTGAATTTTTTTTTGAGGCTTTTCTCTTTTTAATGAAATTTTCGAATTTTGTCCCCAATACCTCTTGAGAGGCATGCTGTTTTCTTTTTTTCTTTTTTTCATTGAAGTCATGAGCTTATTCGCTTTTTTTGGTATAATTCTCAAAAAGTTTTTTCGCCAGTTGATTATCCTTGCGATAGCAAGAGTATTGCTATCGGGACTTTTCCCCGTAAACAACTTTGTCCACAGGTCTCAGTTCTGGACTCCTTCACATCTTCGTCCTCTTTGCAGATCCTACTCCTCTTAAATGGAAATATTAAGCATGATTCAGTTTTTTTTAATTATCCGTCGTGTTCAAAATTTGCTTTGTATGTTGGTTGTGATTTTTTACTCATATTTTGTTACTTTATTTTTTTTAAACTTTTTTTTGTCTTTTTTCGACCTAATAGGCTCAGGCCAGTATTATATCGCCTTAATGGCCTAATTTTGAGTGGTTTCAAGAGAAACATAATTTTTATGTTCACCTCTGGATCGGACAAAATGCTAAAAACCTTAATAGAAATTATAGTTCAAGTTTTTCATGACAGCAATTTTTCGGCTTAATAAATTTCGGTTTTTTTTCGGCCTATATTATATCGATTTAATGGCGGCATAATGCGCCTTTCTTTGGGCGAAAAATTTTGTGTGTGCGTGTCTTTGAGGGTGAGGGGGACTTAAAAACTTCTTATTAGTCTTAGAATTTTTTTTGATTTTTTTTGTGTTTTTCTTTTCCTTTTTTTCCTAATTTTCGGTCTAGATTATATCGGCTTACTAGCCACATATTGCGTCGTTTCATGAGCTGTGTATGTGTTTTGAGGGTGAGAGGGATTTCATAACTTTTTAGTAGCCTTAAATTTTTTCTTTTTTTTCGGCTTTGTGTTTTATTTATTTTGTGTTCGGCTTAATAGGTTTCGGCCATTATTATATCGGCATATTGGCCGCATATTTTTTGATTTGACGCGTGAATAAAGTTTGTGTGTCTATGTCTGTTTTTTTGTTTGTTTGGCGGTGTAGGAGACGTGTAGAAGTCGCAGGGGTTCGAAGCTCATACGTAGCAAAGTACTAATTCGAGGCTTATTTCTCTCTTTTCTGATTTCGCTATATAAAGCTGCTTTTTGTCGTGCTCTCGCAAGTGTTTGCGAATTCAGCTTCGCCACTGTGTTGCCCTTGCGATAAGCAAGGGTAGTGCAATCTGGTACTAGAGTTTTTTTCCCATAAATAACGTTGTTCACAGAATGGTAAAATTGCATGGTTGCTCATTAACATGGTAACTGTATTAGCTGCATGCAGTTGCCACGCGGCATTTAGTTGTGTTACCTTAAGAATTGCAAAAGAGTTTGTAGAATTTGAAATATTTTGGTACATTTTCGACACATAGATTGGTCGGTTTCAATTCTGTCGGCTTTTTTGTTAGTATTATAACAATTAATCTCTACCGAGAATTTTTTCAACTCGAACGAGAAAGTTTTGCATGTCTGTAATAATTTTAAGAAGTTTTATTAAAATCAGTTATCGGATTTCTAGTACGCTTTTTTATTTTGTCGAAAACTGGGTTTGTTTGTTTATGTTGTTTATAAAATCATTGAACCATTGCTTAACAGTATGTAAAAGTTTGAGATGCTAGATCGGCCGGCTTCAATCCTACGGCCTATTTACCTAATGTGTTTTTAATTTGAATCCGGTCTTTTTTCGGCATTGTCCCAGTTTTGACTAGGTATGTAGGAAATATCAAAATATTTTCCGACCTTTTTAAAAGGTTAAAAAATTATGAAAAAGTTTTTGTTTATTTTTGAATTTGTGTGAATTTTTTTTTGAGGCTTTTCTCTTTTTAATGAAATTTTCGAATTTTGTCCCCAATACCTCTTGAGAGGCATGCTGTTTTCTTTTTTTATTTTTTTCATTGAAGTCATGAGCTTATTCGCTTTTTTTGGTATAATTCTCAAAAAGTTTTTTCGCCAGTTGATTATCCTTGCGATAGCAAGAGTATTGCTATCGGGACTTTTCCCCGTAAACAACTTTGTCCACAGGTCTCAGTTCTGGACTCCTTCACATCTTCGTCCTCTTTGCAGATCCTACTCCTCTTAAATGGAAATATTAAGCATGATTCAGTTTTTTTTTAAATTATCCGTCGTGTTCAAAATTTGCTTTGTATGTTGGTTGTGATTTTTTACTCATATTTTGTTACTTTATTTTTTTTAAACTTTTTTTTGTCTTTTTTCGACCTAATGGGCTCAGGCCAGTATTATATCGCCTTAATGGCCTAATTTTGAGTGGTTTCAAGAGAAACATAATTTTTATGTTCACCTCTGGATCGGACAAAATGCTAAAAACCTTAATAGAAATTATAGTTCAAGTTTTTCATGACAGCAATTTTTCGGCTTAATAAGTTTCGTTTTTTTTTCGGCCTATATTATATCGATTTAATGGCGGCATAATGCGCCTTTCTTTGGGCGAAAAATTTTGTGTGTGCGTGTCTTTGAGGGTGAGGGGGACTTAAAAACTTCTTATTAGTCTTAGAATTTTTTTTGATTTTTTTGTGTTTTTCTTTTCCTTTTTTTCCTAATTTTCGGTCTAGATTATATCGGCTTACTAGCCACATATTGCGTCGTTTCATGAGCTGTGTATGTGTTTTGAGGGTGAGAGGGATTTCATAACTTTTTAGTAGCCTTAAATTTTTTCTTTTTTTTCGGCTTTGTGTTTTATTTATTTTGTGTTCGGCTTAATAGGTTTCGGCCATTATTATATCGGCATATTGGCCGCATATTGTTTCATTTGACGCGTGAATAAAGTTTGTGTGTCTATGTCTGTTTTTTTGTTTGTTTGGCGGTGTAGGAGACTTGATATATATTTTTTAAAGTATCGTTCTAAAGGGTTTGCGTTAAGGTATTTTCGGCTTTGTTAACCGCGTGATAACTTCTTTTTTGATACTATTTTCACTTTATATTGGTCTGGCTAGCTGTTGTTTCAAAAGTAATCTTATCGATAGATCTATTTAGATATTTTCGAAGTTTTTTTGACTTTCGTGTTTGTATCGCAAGTGGTGCGAAGCTCAGCTACGACTCTGTGTTTTTATTTTGCTTTAAATGCTTTCTAGCTTTTATATTTTTTGTAGAAAAAACTTTAGAACGATAACTTCTACACGCAAAAGACTCGAGTTTAGCGGGGATTTAAGTGCTATCAGATCTCAAAATTTTTAAATTCAATTCCTGCTCTTAATTTTCAGATTTTCTAATGTCAAAATTACAAATTTAGTCAATTTTGGCTATTTGTTTCTTGAACACTTGATGTTTTCCTAATTCAGATTATTTTCGCTACTTGATGTGATTAAGGATTTTCGGTTTTGTTCCAACAAAGTTTTGGGATAGCGAAAAAAATTGAAATAGACAATTTTTTGCCAGCGTTTTTCTTTTGGATTATTTATTCCGTCTTATTCTGTTTGGACTTAGTACTAAGGATTTTTTCGTCTTAATTCCTCGTGATGTCTGAAAGTTTTTGTTGCTAATTGATTCAAATTAATGCGACATCGATTTTTTTACCATTTTTTCCGTTTCTGCATAGTTACCACGCGATAATTTTCT